CATAACATATGGTTCATTCGATACGGAACGTTGCAGTGAAGGCTTACTTTACATCGTTCAGAAACCGAAGGACTTCAATACAAAGAGATATAAGATAGGAAGGACATATAATATAACTCAAAGATATGACAGTACAGTCAATAGAGTCAAGGTTGTGTTTGCTAATGATATGAGAGCTGCAGAAACAGAACTACTTGAAAAGTTTGAGAAAATGTATGGTGCTCCCATAAAAGGTAAAGAAACGTTTGAAGTAGATGAGATAGATAAAGCTATAAAATTATTTGACGAAGTTGCTGAAAAATACATGTAAAGCGTTTATTTTTGGTCTTTTGTGAAAGATAGAAAATAAAGTTAGTGTCATTTTTTTGTATTTTTTTGTATGTAAGATATGATTTCAGGGATTTTTTTGACGAAGTGTCAACCTTCACTTCGTGTCATAATGTAAAAATAACGCTTACCATGTAAAACGGTTGTGAAAAAAACAGGTTAGAAAGGAGGTTAGATCTAACCTTCTACCCTAAATTATATTTGTGCTGAATTCAGCAAAAATAATGTTTAGGTGAAGTGGTGCGATCTCACCTGTTTTTTCACCTGTTTTCTCACAAGCGTTTATTTTTGGTCTTTTGTGAAAGTCAGAAAATAAAGTTAGTTTTATTTTTTTATTTTGTATGTAAGATATGATTTCAGGGATTTTTTTGACGAAGTGTCAATGTTCACTTCGTCAAAAAATAACAGTTATCTAATGAAAAAGTGTCATTTTATTTTTTTATTTTGTATGTAAGATATGATTTCAGGGATTTTTTTGACGAAGTGTCAATGTTCACTTCGTGTCATAATGTAAAAATAACGCTTACCATGTAAAACGCTTATAAAATAACTGGGGTAGAAAAGAGGTTAGATCTAACCTTCTACCCTAAATTATATTTGTGCTGAATTCAGCACAAATTTCATGAGTTTTGTATGTTTTAGACCATGTGAGAAAACAGGTGAAAAAACAGGTGAGATCGCACCTCTTCACCTAAACATTATTTTTGTCTGATTTACGCTCATTACGAAGAAGTTTTGACAAAACATTTACGAAGAAGTCTTGACAAAACATTTACGCTCATTACGATGAAGAAGTCTTGACAAAGCATGTACGAAGAAGTCATGACAAAACATTTACGAAGAAGTTTTGACAAAGCATGTACGTTCATGTTTGACAAAACATTTACGATGAAGTCTTGACAAAACATATACGTTCATGTTTGACAAAACATTTACGTTCATGTTTGACAAAACATTTACGATGAAGTCTTGACAAAACATTTACGAAGAAGTCTTGACAAAACATTTACGAAGAAGTCTTGACAAAACATTTACGAAGAAGTCTTGACAAAACATTTACGAGGTTAGAAAGGAGGTTAGATCTAACCTTCTACCCTAAAATATATTTTTGCTGAAAAATGACCAAAAATCTGAGTAAAATGGCATAAGATTGCTTCCCTCGGAAAACCGAGGGTAGAGATTCCGTATGAAAATCATGAAGAACAGCGAGACCGACTTTTATCTAGGTCGCCAAAACTCTATGAAAACAGTGAAATTTCTCTAGACCGACTTTTTTCGGTCTTGCATAAAACACATGAAAATCATGAGTTTCCTTAAGATAGAAAAAATAAAGTTAGTTTTATTTTTATTTATTTTTTTATTTTGTATGTAAAGACAGATATGTCAACAACAGAGAACACAACAACTGCTATCGTTCATGAAGCCATAAATGAAGAATACGAGTACATACAGTATAACAAACAGTTACGTCTCATTCGTTCAGTCAAAGACGATATGTACCAAATGCAAAGTATTTTGACAGCATGTTTTGCACCCGACACTAAGCTTCCTAAAGACTGGTTTAGGAACCAAAGCACCATTGAACTTTTGAGCGAAGCACAGCGAGACATACTTTTTTCTGAAAACAGTGAAGAACAGCGAGTAGGTAAAAAACCCCAGTCGCCAAAACTCTATGAAAACAGTGAAGAACAGCGAGTAGGTAAAAAACCCCAGTCGCCAAAACTCTATGAAAATCGTGAAAAATTGCCAAACGGTTTGAGAGGATATTATGTACATAGACTTCTTGTAAATGCTGTAGCAATGTGGGCTTCGCCTCGTTATGCTTGGAATATTTACAGACTTCTTGACGAAATTCATAGACAAGAACGTGAAGAGCTAGAGAACAAGCTTGAAGCAAAAGACAAAAGCATTCAGAAAAGAATACCACGTTCGGTACCAAAAGGAAAGGAAAAGAACTATAAGTATATGATTTATACTGAAGAGTTGGAGAAAGAAGAAGATAAAGATATGGTTATGTTGCATTTAGTCAGAAGAAACAACAAAAGCTTTTACGACCTTGCTAAGATTTACAAATCTGACAGAAATTGGTTCTATCGCGAAAACTTACCGATTTCAATGACACCGAATGAAGATGTGAAACAAATAGTTCAAGATACGTTACCTCAAACACACTATGATATTAAAGGTTGTACAATACTTACCTTCAAAGAAGATTTGTCATTGTTAAAGGAAAAAATAACAGAGTATTTTGACAACTTCAAACAAGTAGGGTAGATGAACTCTTTATTTTTCAAGCTTGACTTCAGATGGCTCAAGTAGCTCAATTAGGTAAATTGCCTCGTCAAATCCTTCTGGCATTCCGAGTCCTTCCTTCCAACAGGAAAAAAATTTCCTTCCAACAGGAAAAAATTTTCCTTCCGACAGGAAGAACTCTTCCTTCCAACAGGAAAAAATTTTCCTTCCAACAGGAAAAATTTTTCCTTCCGACAGGAAAATTTTTTCCAGTTGTCCGTCCGTAAACCATTCAAATTTTCGAAAATTGAGAACTTTTTGGTCGAACTTCAGAAAAAGTTTTTCCTTCCAACAGGAAAAATTTTTCCTTCCAACAGGAAAAAATTTTCCTTCCGACAGGAAAAAATTTTCCTTCCGACAGGAAGAACTCTTCCTTCCGACAGGAAAAGTTTTTCCTTCCGACAGGACACAAACGGATGACTGACGTTCCTCTTCCTGAATGCCTTCCAAAGCCAGAAGAACCGACAGCCCCAGCACCACAACAGACTTACTAAGACTAAACACTTACATTTTTTCAAGCTTGACTTTTTACAATTTGAACTTTGTTTGCGTAGATATGAATTCTGAAAGAAGTATGAGGGTCTTGTATGACTTTGTACTTCTCCCATAGTTCATGTCTGTCAAACTTACCTGCCATGGACTCTTTCATAAGTTCCATGAAATCGTCTTCGGACAATCCGGGGAAAAGTACAATGTCAGTAAGTATTCTCTTTACATCCTTACTTAAACTCTTTGCTGTCTGTACACATATTACGACTGAGATGTTAAAGTGTCTGAGCTTCTTAAGAATTCGACACATATCTTGTTCTCTGTTCTTTAACAAAGGATGAGAGGCGAAATCATCTAAGATAAGAAGACATCTATGAGGGTAAGTCTTCCAATCGTAAGATTGCAATTTCTTCGAAATGTATTCTATCTCTTTCTGTTTGTTTCTGAAGTGTTTCTTCTCTAATATTCTCTGCATTTCCTCATTTGGGTCTTTAAACTTCGAATTTATATACTCATTATAGCATTGTACTTCAAAACCCTTCTTTGGTACTTCTTTATCCAATCTAACAACTCAGTATCCTTTATACATACTAACTTAGACTTCTTTATAATATCTTTGAACGAATTGACGGTTTGGTCAAATTGACCAGAAGTACTACAAATGACAACTAACTCATAAAATGGGTTCTTCTCATCTAGTTCTTGTTGTTGTGCAGCCATTTTAAGATAAGTGAAAGTCTTACCCGACCCAGGTGGTGCAATTAGACCTGTTATACCATTCTGAGCAAATAAGAACTTGTCATGTATGGGTTTTATCTGAGCATTTTCTAACTTCCTCTTGTTCTTGTTTAAAACATTCTCAAATTTTTTGTCAATGTCAGCAAACTTTTTTTCTAACATATTTTTAGAAAAATTAAAATTTTTATCTTTTAGAAAATGTCTAGCGATTTCGCTATCTATATTCGAGACAAGCTTTTCGACAGCAAAACATCTGTCGACCATAAAATCTTACATAGTGTAAACAAGAAAGGTGAATTTGTTCTAAAGTTCTGTTTCTGGGAATATGACAAGAACCATAAAACATTAAGCAGAGAAGTCTTAAAATTTGTCAATGACAGACTTGTTGACAGAGATGACGCCTCTTGGAAAGATGAAGTCCAACAAAATTTCTTAGAATGCAAAGAAGACACATGCGCTGTTCTTGAAGATGAAATAGAAAACAGAATAGATGAGCTATTAAAGGACAAAGAACTTTTACATAAATATAGTTGCGCCAAATTTGACATAACTCCACCAGAAAAGAAGAAGAAAGAAAAGAAAGAAAAGAAAGTAGAAGAAGAGAAGAAAGAACCTGAACCAGTTCCAGAGAAAAAGAAATTTGACATGTAAAAAATAAAATTTTATTTTTAGAACATTTCTGGGTCAATGTCAATGTTCTCTTCCTCTTTAGGAGCAAACACTGGCTTAGACTCTAAAATCTTTTTACCCAATTTACCTTGAACTTCAACTATCTTAGACTCATAATATTCATAGTCGTCTGCTTTCTTTGGTTCATAAGGTATAACAAGTTTGTATGCTTTGCCTTCTTTAAGGTTTGAAAACCTTCTGTCAAAACTTTCTTTGACTGCTAACAAACCTTCTATGTCTAAGTCTTCAAATTTCGCACCATTTTAGTCACAATAGCAAACTTAACTGGTTCGATGTTCCAAACTTTGCTGAATGAAGACTTTTCAAAATGGTAGAAGTAAACATTCAAATATGTGAATGGGTCTAGTTCTTCTTTAAGTCCTGACATGTACTTATTTACTGAGATGAATTTTGCCATCTTTTTCTATCGGATAAAAAAAATATTTTTTTAAAATTTACTCAGAAAAATTTTTCTTTGTATATACACCATTCTGAACATCTAAAAGACTTTTGACATTTGCCAAGAATGTTCGTTTAGACGCTGTCATATAACCATATTCTTGACAATATTGTTTATACGAATCGTACAATGACCTTTCATCTAAACACTCAAAGTCAGTTTCATCTATGAACAGTTCATATACACTCTTGTTTGCTTCTAACAATGTTTGTCTCTCTTCGGTATGTGGAATTTGTCTTGGATTGAACTTAGAAATATCTAATGTCATGAAATATGAGAACAAGTGGTTGTAAAAGTCAGATGTCAAAGTTTCTGCTAAGTCGTCAAAATATTCTGTATCTTGCATATGAGAATCTGACGTTCTGACAACTACATATCTTCTGTCAGAACTTTCTAACTTCATCGGAACAGAATTGTTTGAAACCATAATGAAGTTTGCAACATTTTCACAAACTCTTTGGTCTTTATATTTTCTTTCAACAACTCCAACTTTGTCTGTTATAAGACTCTTCAAAGCATCTGAGTTTAAAACTTTTGTTGTATCTATACTTTGAAGTTCATTGCAAACTATAAGTTTCATATTCTCTATTGAGGAGTTAAACTTGCCACAGATGTTTTCTAAGTTTGTCATATTCGGGTTCGAATAGCCCTCTAACAGTTTGCACAAAATATCTGTAAAGAATGTGTTCTTACCAGTTCCTTGTTTTCCAATTATAATGAGAGCAGTTTCATTTTTAGCACTTGGATGTTGTAAGATGTTTGCAAACCAACATAAGATATACTCATAAACCTTTTCGTTTCCATTGCATATAATTTCTTTGACATGGTCTAACCAAGCTTCTATAATATTTTCTTTCCATTCTACTTGTTCATATTTATATCCAGTGAAGATAGAATAGAAGTTTGGAGAAGGTGTATAGAACTTTATACCTCGAACTGAAAAATCTTCTAACTTTGACAATAAGATATCCCAAGCATCTAACATCTTCATGCCAACTTGTACGACTTTTATTTTCTTAAGTTTCTGTCTACATTCTTGTTCTGAAAACTATTGTTGCTTTAGGTTTGTTAAAGACTACATCCCATTCTTTCATAACATAACATTCTGGGGCAGAGTCAACATAAATGACTAAACGTTTCAAATTCTCGACTGCTTTGTTATAGTCTCGAAATGGACACATATTTCTGAATGCTTGGAAGTCATAAAAATCTGAAACATCTATTCTGTACATTTTTATAAAAATAAAAAAAATATTTTTTTTATTCTTGACTTTGTTGTTGCATTTGTTCCATTTGTTGCATTTGTTGTTCTTGAGCTATTTGTTGTTGAAGTTGTTCTTGTAAACAATACTTTCACCAGTTGCATCTTCCAATTCGAAACTTTCTGCCGTCATTGACAAATACATAGGACATAAAAGTTTTACAGGAACAAAGTTTGCGTCAACTAATGTCAACGTTATACTTGCCAAAGTGTTTGAGTTCACTAAGGTTGAAAATTCTGCATTCGAATGAACAATAGGCAAACCAGCAGAGAAAGTATTGTTTATAACGCATAAGTATCTTTTGGTCATAATAGTTTCTGTCGACATTCGAATAACACTTTGAACCTAAGTTTGAAACAATATATAAGATTGGTGTGCTTAATGTCAATGGAATAGACATTCCTTGTATGACACCTTTTCCTGTTATAGGAAACTGTTGGTAGTAAAAACCAGATATAAGTTTTGTATTATAGCTCATATTGTTTATAGTAAACTCAGTCGGACATCCAAACATAATGAAACCTGCTCTAGTTGCAGCACATGTTACACCCGTACTTAAAGTATTAAATAAGTCAACAAAACCTGTTGTGGTATATCTGAGTAAGTATCTTCAAAGGAGTATTTTTTACCATTCACAACAATAAAGTCTTCTGGTGTCAAAAGAGCAAAACAGGCTTTAGTCGTCATTGTGTTTAAGGTTAGTTTACAATACCGTCCTTGAGGACTTTGTAAGTTTGTTGTTATAGAATTATATGACTCAGGGTTTTTAGTCGTAATAGTATAAACCATTATATCTTCTGCCATTTATATATATTTAAAAGTTTTTCTGAAAGTGGAAAGAACTATCTAAACTTTCACATGGCGTTTCTTGAAGTTCTCTGTCTAAGAAGTTCAAATATTTTGTAAAGACATAGAACTTTCCTTTGTCTACACGAACAAACAAAACAGGGTCTTTCATATCGTTCAAAAGTGTGTAAAGTCCTTTACATGAAATAAAGTCTATATTATTTTTTCTTCAAACATCTTTCAAGAAGTTTTGACATTTTTACTTAGCAAATAAATTTTAATGAAATGTTGTGGTCGTCAAATATTTTTATGACGTCTGGGAAACTATACTTTAAGTTCAACGTTTCACCACCTTTCATAACGTATATCTTGTCAATGACATTATATGAAACACCACAGCAACTAATGTCGGGTTCTATTTCTTTGTTGTTTATATCGTCTGCCTCTGTCAAAAGTTTCAATAGTTCTTTCAAAACTTCATGAGGTGCAATGACATATGAGTTCACTTTTACAGGGTTGTGTTCGACCAAGTTTAACATTATACTTAAAGCTTGACAAATCTTCTCCTGAGTTTGAAGTTTGTCTTTCAGTTGTTGGTAGTCGTTTCGAATATCTGCAACAGAACTTAAGTCTCTGCTAACTTCAGGATATGTTGGTTGTTTCTTACAGGAACAATTGTTTATACCATCTTCGTCTTCGTATGGTTTCCCCACTTCAACATCTCTGTCTTTGACATGACAATAACACTTTGACTGTTTGTTTGAGTTGGTGAATTTAACTTCACATCTGCCACCGCCATTAAACCTTTTGAAACACTTACGCTTCTATTTTTCGGAAATGACATTTTACTTAGAATAAAAAGATGGACGTATTCGAGTATCTCTTCGAAGTGAAGCAGAACAAAGTTTACACACACAAACAATACAAATACATTGACAGAATAGTTCTTTATACAAACAATGGTAAATGTTATAGAATAGCAATATTTGCTGAACCAAAATATTTCCATAAAGCAAGAAAGTTGGTATAACTGAAATGGTGAAAGTTCTTGACGTTGACAAAAATATAACAACAAAACTTACAGATATTTCTAAAGGTAAGTTTATAATACAATATTATGTCAAAACTGGCGTACTGTCAATATTTGACGGAGAGAAGTCAGTTCAAGAACAACTTACTGACCTGCTGCCAAAATCTGCTCGATGGAAGCTGTCGTTATGCCAATCTGAGGAGCCCCAGCAGGTTTCATCGAAACGAATCTTCAAAAGAGCATCTTCCGTGAAAAGTGCTATTGGTTTGTAAACTTCTTTGCTCTCAGTTCATCTGGACCGTCTCTGTCACCAGTATATTGTATTTGAACTGTACCAACAGTTGAAATACCACCCATAAAGTCTTCTGAGTCAGCAAATGGAATGCCAAGCCAAAAGTTTGAACGGTCTCCATTTGTATATTGAGTTTTTTGACCTCCTGTATGAGTCCATACTTTCACATATGCATAATAGAAACTTTGCATTTCAGGGTTAATGGTCGTTGTGAAGTTGTTGTTAAAGTTCATAGCATCTAATGTCAAGTTGTATGACCTCATATCCTCAACTGTAGAATATTCTTCTCTTGGATAATATTTGCCATCTATGTTTATATGATATTTAATACCGGGGTTGTAGAAACAAGAATAGTCATTTATAGTTCGTCTGAACAGTACAAACATAGTATCTGCATGTTTCATTGCAGTTGTTAAAGCAATATCTGTTCTTGCACCTGGTCAGCACTTTGGTTTCCAACTTCACCTGCAAAGTCTTTGACAGATATTTGGTGTATAGGGAACATAAGTGGAACTGCAATATATTTGGCAGCTAAAGCATTTGAAATATCTGGGTCCAACATATAGACTGCAAGTCTGCTTTCTATTCTCTTGCATTCAAACTTTTCGCATGTAAACTTAACTGGGTCCCAAGCAGTTCCAGCAGCATTGAAATAATAGTTTACTTCATTGTTGAAGTTTGAGAAACCAAAGTCTAAGTCAACTTTGTCTTTGCAAAATTCGGCGAATGACGTTTGATTTGTTCCCTTTACGTCTGTAATAGTGAATGGGTCTTGTGTTGTGCAAATGACTAAGTTATTTTTGCTTGGAGTAAGTTCGATAGAAATTTTTCCTGCCCAGTTTGGCAAGTATCTTAAAAAACCTGAAGATGAGGAAAGATGACAAAGGAACTCTAAGTTTCAGTTTTACTTTGGTTACTGCTGCTGCAGTTTGTCCAGAAAGGTTAACATAAACTCCTGAACGTTAGGGTCAAGTCTTATTTTTCTCAATATTTGCATACTGGTCTGTTTTCTCTAGCTTGTGGTTGTACTGAGTTTCTCAAAGCGAACCATTCATAGTTTGCCCATGTTACTGTTTGAACTAAGTCAGAGTTAGAATATATCTTATATCCCATGAAAACTTCTGAGCATATTGGTATCCGACATAGAAAATTCCATTGCAACCTTTCTTGTCAGACAACTTGGCAGAAGGTTTTATTTCAATGTCTTGTTCCACGTAAAAATGAGTTGTCAATAGAAATAATATGAAACCTGTCGCAAGCAATATCTACTGTTGTTGAAGAACCTTCTCCAAACTCACCTACGTTTCCATAAGAAACAGCAGTTGTATATTCGTAAGTTCCAAACTATTTCTGACCTTCTAATGGCATTGTCGCATTCGTTATACCATTCGAACATTTCCGTTCATGGCATCCAAAACTGTTGGCGTTATATTCTGAGCGGCGTACATTTCATATGGGTAAAAATATAGAATAGTTGGATTTAATGTCATAATTGTTTCGGACCAAGCTTTACTTTCTTCCTGACTGAGTTTTTAACTCTTCTTTTTCCTTCATTGCCACTACTTTCACTAGATGAAGTTACTTCTTCACTATTTTCACTTTGTTCTACTCTCTTCTTTGGTGTCGCTTTTGGTAACTTGCCCTCTGCTTCAAGTTGTTGCATCTTTGCCTCATGTTCACCTAGTATGTTGTAAATTTCCCATGTCCTTTTTGCCTTTGGGCTCTGTCGCCCATCTCAGGTAACCTATATCCTAGAAAGATTTGTCATAGTTTGTATTTGAGTCTTCGCTTATTGTTTGCATGACTCTTTCCTGAGTTTCCGGTTCAAGCTCTTCAAACAGAGCTTGTCCATATGGAATAAGCTCGTTCCAAATATATTTTTGTAGCCATTCTGGTTTTCTTTCCATGTTACCAATAATATCTTTTGTGAATGGGAAAGCTTTTACCCAATGTTTCAGTCTTGCGTCATTTATTTTCTGTAGTTGGTTTATTTTGTCAAGGAACATGTTTTTCAATACTAACATTTCATTTGGTACTGTCCATTTGAGTTTTCTTAAATATTCATCCCTTCTCAGTTCATTGTCTGCAAAGTAAGTTTTTATGACATTTGCAAACTTTCGTTTGCAAGGTCATGTACAATAGGTTCTCTTCCTTCTCTCTCCCTAACTTTCTTTCTAAACTCTTCACCAAATATACCATCTCTATGGTTCTGTGTAGTTCTTTGAGATAAATGTTCTAGAACGTCAGGTGTTATATTTCCA